CTTATATGATAACGTTTATTTGTTAGCTGATAGACTACAGGGAAGGTGGGCTACTTTTCTTTGATCGTCACCCTTAAAGCGCGCCCACGAAACCAAAGTGTGGAACGGGAGGCGAAACATGAAACCATTTGACATGCAATACGACATGGATAGGGAGACATGAAATGTCTTTCCGAAGAGGAATATTCATACAGAAAGACTGTTAAAGATTGTAGAGCCAAAGGACACATTTCTAATAAGGGAGTTCTGTATGCTTTCAAGGAACTGAAAAAATTCGTACAGCAGTGCTTTTACGACAGTAAGCGTAACATTAACGCTACGATTATGATCGAAAATATTCCCATTTCTAAAAAAAAGCCACTTCGATGGAGCTGGGCATATATATTGGTATAATTAACAGGATTCTAAAGTGAAAAGCTTAAAAGCCCTCACCTACACCTAAATCAGCAGCTGTTTTTATCAGAAAGATGACCGAAGGAACTTCATTCACAAAAAGCTTAAGTTACGTACTTATCAAATCCATCGATATATCTGTGACGGACGTTTATGTTTTTGACTTGCTTGAACGTGGTATTGGAAGCAGAGGATCTATAGAAAGATTGACCTAGCTGTCCTTTGCAGAAGTTTCTTACTAAGGAAATTGCAGCGTTGGACACTAGTAGGTAAGAAGGCTGAGTATTATCAAAGATGTAGAAAGTTGTTCAAAGGGTAACAAAGAACCTGGAAAATCGTTCTTAATAATTGCGATTAATCTTTTCTAGTTTTGATGATCGCTATTTGATTTCACGAGTAAAAGTTTTTACATTAATCGTACGGGACAGAGTTCATCATATTAACTTCATTATGCACCAAACTCAAAATTTCAGCTGTATGGAAAGTTACCTACCACCATAAACAAACATTTGAGGGAACAAACAAGAAAATTCATTTTAAAACTTTAGACGTATGATTATAATACAGTAGGTTTAAAACACAAACTGAAACAAAGAACTGAATTCATCATCTTTTGAACTAACTTTTCGTATGACAGTTTCTTTTAAATTCTTAATTCTTTCTTACGCGAATCTACATTCATTCGACTCTCGTGCAAGAGAATATGGTTTGACCAAAGGTTTTACTTGTTTGTTATTAAGCGCAAAGCTACATAACGGATTATTTGTAAGCTGCCCAACGCGGATATCCAAACCTAATTTTTAGAGTTATAAGCCCTCAAACTTACCGCTGAGTCATCGGGGAGTTCACTAAAAGTAAACGGTACATGCGATAAACATATACATTCTTAATTAAAGCAAGGATTGTTATTTCTATATTGTTAATATTTTACTGAAAACTTTCGTTACAATTATGCATCTTTCGAGAGATTCTTCAAATTATACATAAGGATCAGAATACAGTCTCTACAATTTTAACATAAGCATAAACTTCGCTGTAAATGTGTTTGTTTATTTCAGCATCCATTTGTAAGTTGATCAAATTTTAAAACATATGTACTTTTCTTCACTACACTTTACATTGTTATTTTTGGAGATATTCGCACGAAGGTACACAAGAGCTATTGTTAGATTAGAGGTAAGGTAGCTAGTCAGCAGCATCTACAGCAAATTCTTTATTACTGTAATCGAATAGTTGCATTTGAGTGTCATTCTTATAACACAGTTATGGCACCAAAGTGCGAAGAGCAATTTTTTTCTTGCAGCAAAGGGACACGAACCACGGACCTTTGTATCGACAGGCCAGCACGCTAAACTCTTTATCTTTACTTGAATATTTCTTTCTGACTTTTCTACAATTAAAGCCTCGTATTTATGATTATTTGTTTGTTGGTTTGCAGAATTTTGCGCAAAGCTACCTGAGGTCTACCTGCGCTAGCTGTTCCTAATTTGGAAGTGGTAGACGAATAGAAGGATTGACCGTCAGTAAACACGGCTGAAAGAGCGAGCATGTTTGGTGACGAATTTCAATCCTGCAACTCACAGATTTTGAGTAGGGTGCTCTAACCACCAGGCCATGTTACGCCTATTTATGATTATTTGCAGCTCGTTAGTAACCAAAGCTTTACCATAATCACTCTTTAAATAAAAGAGATCCTATAAAACAATTGATTTGCGAGTAACTTTAACATGGTATAATTCAGGTGATACACCCATCTCAATGAGGATGTTAGTGAAGGTCGTAGGTGCAGAAAGTAAATAATTATTTTTGTTCTTTTTTTAGAATTGTTTTTATTAATTTCAGAGATACAGGCTGACCATGTTAGTTTTCTATAATTTGTGCCTCAAAGCTCACTAAATATGTGAACAAATCTTTATTGTTTCTTTTTGTATAATTGGTTTGTTTTAGTCTGAATGGGTTACTGTCAGTTCCAATCTTCATGTCTCCCCAGAGAGACACGCTGTTTTTCAATTAACATCAAATTATTGTTTCTCTTCCAAACATTTTTCAATCGACTGCTATTCCTTCATTTCTCGGCGGATTAGCTTGAAAATTGGCAGGGTTATACCTTGGTCCAATACGATTAAGTCTTTTCTAAGAATTTTATGGGGTCAAAAGTCAAACAATCTAAAAACGTATATTTTGGGCTCCTGTGCGAGCATATTTCCAGCAATCAAGGTTAAAATTGTCACAAGCATAAATATTTATGCGCCCGACTTATTGACATAAATAAGTTAGATTTATTCATTTTGAATTTCTTGTTAGGGCTTGTCTGAGCTCACACAAATGCATAATTTTGGGGTTTTTGGTCATATACCCGGCTGTATTGTGACCAATTTACATGGGATTTGATATAAAGATACTTTTCTATACGTTCCACACATTAACAAAAAAATAAAAAGGTGAACTTTCCTATTTTTAGTAATTATATGGGGATCAAGATGCCACAAAAAGTAATTTTAGGACCTTTTAACAATTACTCCATCGTATTTTGGTCAATTTACAATGGTACAAAAATGTGTTTTGCAGAACCCGTACATATACATACAAAAATATGGGACTTGCCCATTCTTGTTCATTTTAGGGGGGTGGGTCAAGAGGTTAAATAAGCCCATAATTTTAGAGATTTTGGTTCATTTCTAGGCCATATTTCAAATATTTACGTGCAATTTAGTATAAAGATACTCTTTGCAGGTCCCAAACAGAAACAGACAATTTTGGAATTTGTCTTTTCCTCAATTCTTCAGTAAGGAAAGCACAATTTGGGGTTTTCCTGAATTATTCATGTGTATATCAACCAACTTACATGGTTTTTGGTACATGTTGCAGGCCCAAAGCATGATACAAACAGTTTTCGATTTTTCTGGTGTCACATTTGACCATGTCTGGATTACGTGCCGGATACATATTGCGTTCGCCCGCGAATGTTGTCTCTTTTCTTGTAATTTATTTTCGTATCATGGTTTGTTTTAATTTCTGAGTGATTGTTTAACTGTTTTTATCTGTGCAACTTTTCCTAGTAGCACGATCTAATTGTACATGATATTCTATTTAGCATATTTTGTAGTTGTGGGCTGTCAGTTGACGTTCTATATAAGTCAGTGTGTAGAAGGTTATCGTTTAATGAGACAGTTTATGCTATAATGCGTTTCATAAATAATAGTTTTTCTGTCAATACAAAAATTTTCCTTTAAACCAACATATCAACCAGCTCGATCATTTTATCAGTGACAAGGTTCTCTTAACAACCGAAATTAGGTTTCGAATTCAAATTAAAGAAGCGTATTTGATTGATACTTTTGGTACTGTTCATCATAGTGGGAATAATCCTGGTTCTGAAATTAGTGATATTCGATTTTTAGCCAATTCTCTGTCATTTAAAAAGAAGTTGTAGTTTTGTTTTTAATATTTTTACGTATTTTCACTTAATAAATGTTACTCTGTGTTATTTTCAATTTATTTTATCACTTATTCATTTTTGCGTTATAACTATTAACATTTATTTATTTCAGTATTTACCTCAATCTAATTAACAATTCCTTCTACTCTTAATTCATATTCTTTGTTATGATATTTGTAGCTCACGTTAATTTCCTTACAATTTTTGAAACGTTCTTTTTTAGTTCTTCCACTAATTGTTTTGTTTCTGGCATTACCCTTTCCCGCCTTATTCCGATATTTTCCTAAATGGCAGTCAGTCACACTTGCAAGATTCCTTTTGAAAGCCAACCTAAACTCTTACGTACTGTACGGTGCTGCCATAGTTACCCATGACGTCCTAGGGATCACTTCACTAGCTTTCTCATTTTGAAATTCCTGCTCATTACCAAATCATACATAAAGAAGACATATTTAACCGAAACCACCGGGTTATCACTTTTTTTATGGTATATCTTTTTTTTTTAATCAGACGTTGTCGCTTTGTATCACGAAATGTATAAATAATAATGGTGTGAACCAATAGAGCTATATACATTCACACAAATGTATATATAGCAAAATATAACTATTTGTATTGTCAAAATCATTGGCATATCATGTGATACATGGACTAAAGGGTTAGATCAGAGACACCTAGGATTTAGACATAATGATTCTTAATTCAAAGCTGCTGATCAGGGGCAAAGAAATCAGGCAGCAGCACTCTCGCTATCTACGAGATTATTCTTAAACGAATAAGGGGATTGAGTGATATAGTTATAATTTTCTCCCATCCAAGATGAACGTGCGGAGTGTGTTCAGTAATATTCGTGCTTTTTACTATTTAATATGCAGCCCAGCACGCTAACCATTATGCCATGCTAGGCCCAATATATATAGTAAATTAAAAAAAATATTGAGAGGTAACAGAAAACTTGTAGATGGAAAATTTTTGATCATTTTGATGATGACAGAATAATTCAAGAAGTGATTCAAATTAGACTTAAGAAAGTAACAGAAGAAAAAGAGTATTTGAACTAATTTCTGAAGCTGAAAAGTAAAAGGTTAATGAAGTAAAAGAATGATGAAATTTAATATTTCTAAGAATCAGAGTAAATAAAGAGATGTTAAAGAAAATGTTAACCCACCTGAATATATTCGTCTTCGCTTCGTAGATGTTCTGCGATAAATTCAACAGCTTCTGTGGCTCGATAAGCATCTGGAGTTAGAAAGAGAACATCTGTTGCTTCACTCTTCTTCCTTTGCATTTCTAACTCTAGAGAAGACTTTTGTGTAACCGTGCAGTTGGGATGATGAACGTCGGAGAGTTCCATAAACTCTGTTTTGTTCTTCAGATTATAAGGTATAACCTCGGGTGACCCATGGTAGTGTTGGTGAATACCATATCCTGGCATCTCCATCATCCATGCTAGTCTCGTCTTCTTGGGTCTTTTCATGAACAGGAGAATTGGCAAGTATTTCAGGAATGAAATACGAATCCAGTTGGGCATTCTATGGGTCCTTGGGCCGCGAAAGTTCCAATTAATGATTATTACTGTAACTAGAATTGATCCCGTATTCATGAGAAACGTGAAGAGTAAGTACTTTGCAACAAGCGGAAGAACAAGAGAAGTTGGAGGCAGGATTTTCGACACCAATAACAAGAACACCACAAGTGACAACAGAATGGAGATCCCTAAGGTAACTTTTTCTCCTGCTTCGGCCGGAAGGTAGAATACAAGGATACAAAGGAATGAAATTAAAACAGTTGGTAAAATGAGGTTGACTGTATAGAATAGTGTTTTTCGTCTAATTGTGATGTAGAAGGAAATGTCGGTCTCTGTCGGCTTTCCCTCCTTAGAATTATTGTATACATTGAGAAAAGCTGGAACCTCCACGATGTCCCATGTCCCACTCTTCCAGTAATCGGATAGGTCAACCCATTTATTGTCATCGTATAACTTTAAGGACACTTGATCACCGTTGTAAGTCCACGACCCGAATTTCATGACACATTTCTGTTGATCAAAGGGAAAGTAGGTGACGTCAATAGTACAGGAGCTCTGGTAAATTGCTGGCGGCACCCACATTACTATTCCAGTTGAGTAGATTAGCACATTGGACTTGTACCGGACCTCGTAGTTGCCGTCAGCACTGTTGGTAGGAATAAGACATATATAGATAAAGTTAAGAAGCTGTCGAAAAAGCTGTATATCATTTTGAAATTATTAAACACTAAGATCTCACGAAAACGCTATGTTTATGTTTGTCTACTCTGTTCCAATGTTCATATGCATTTATTTCTTATGTTGAAGAACCAGAGTCCTATATCTATCTATCTATCTATATGAAATAAATTTTTTTATCAAAGATACTCTAGGTTCTCTCACGGTAAGCAGTAACTTTACGGAATTACAATGCTAAAATCTGGAGTTCGATTCACTGCGATGAACAGGGCTTTGTATGGAAACAAACAAACAATACTCTAGGTCAGTGGTTTGTAACTACTAGTATCTACTCTAGAGAGAGAGAAAGAGAGAGAGAGAAATAAAGAAATGTATAATAATTATAAACATATATAATTATTTTTGAATAAATGCTATAGCATTTACAACCCTATGTATAACTACATTCTGAGTACATTTTTTTATAAGTTATACACTGAAATAAAGGCCAATAAGGAGAGATAAACCTATACACTTCTAGCGGTTCGAAAGTTTTTACAAATATTTTGCTAGTCCGTGGAATGAAAACGGTCGAGAACCAAGATTCTAGGTTTAAAATCTATGTGAAATTAAGTAATTTAGTAGATGTGCAATTTGAATAATTTTTTTGAGCGGTAAATTGCATACCCAGGTCTGGCCTTGGTGAAAACCCAACACATCCGGTGAAAGTCTACAAGAAATATGAGCTCTCAGTCCATAAGAGGCTTCCTTTTTGAAACTCTTGTAATGCACTTTAAATATCTTACCTTAAAAGTTTTGCAGGTTATTTTTGAGGAGACGAGACTACACTCCTTCATCTTTTTTTCTATTGAAAATGCAAAACACACTCACAAATTTGCTAAAAATGAGCAAAACCTCTGTGAGGATTTTCAGTGGCATTCATTCTCCAAGAAAATTGTTGTAAGACAGGGAAAGGGGATTGGAAGTGAGGAGGCGTAGCAGTCAAGTCGAGAAACTTGGCAGAAATGGCAAAGCAGTTGCATCTCTTCTTGTTCAAAGCAGCCTATTTCATAGTAGAGATGTGGTCAAGATTTCTACTGTCCGAATTTGGTGCAGTTAATGCATTAAGTATAATAATAGCCTCGAATTTTGTTTCTATGGAAAATAACTATATTCTACATGAAGAACTAAGAAATGTCCTTAAAAATAAATTTAATTATATGAAATACTTCTCTAATTCAGGCTTATTCACTTATTCTAACCCTAGTATAAACCGGAAGTTAAATGGTGTGAATCAGAAAAGTGCAGGCAACTTAAACAACAGCAATATCTTTATTCTTCGCATTGTAGCTGGATATTTTGGTTATTATGGGAAACAAGCCAAAATGGTGAAAATATTATTTACAATCTCCAAACTCAACTATTTACAATAGCTACTGCAGTAACAATATATGGGTTATTCTAGAAAACATTTTTATTTTTAAATACGAGAAAATATTAATATGAATTTGGTTTGCTCTTATACTACGTTTGGTCTGGATTGGTGAACTCATTTAGGAAGGGATGCGTTCACGGACAGACAACAAGTTTTCCCTGATATTGGATAGCTACTGCACCGGTATGATTTAATATGTATAGCGCTTATGTGAAGAACTCCTGCACCCACTATATATATTCAGCTCTGCCGAGCTTCACTGGATAAATCTATAAGACAATAATAAATACGAGGATTAAGTCTAACTAAAAATTTAGTTAGAAGTAATTCATTATATAATAGCGAATAACACCATTAAATTCTATTAATTTGTATCCCGCAGAAAAATCTCGCTCATCATTTTGGGTCCTTGGATGCATTATAAGATTGACGGTCAAATCCCACTGTTTGGTTAGACACGAGCATCCCAAGAGTTGGCGATGGGCATTATTTATTATATGCCTTCTCTCTCGTCTATCATTTTAAAATTAGGGACGGCTAGGGCGTATAGTCCTCGTGTAGTTTTACGCGAAATTCAACAAAGAAAAAAGAAATAGTTTAGGCTAGTAGAAAACAGCTATACCCGAGGAAGACACAAGAAATGTGTTGAAGTATGTGTACATGTGTGTTGAATACACAGTTTTTACAGTAACTAAGATAGTTTTAGTGTAGCGGAACACGGAACCTATGCCATATTCTAACACTATAACTCACTTCGCAAACTAAAACGTAGGTTTCTCTTTATCCACATAAGGATTGTCATTTGATAGGGCACGAACCGGTCAATATTTTTCGTTGTGGCTGATCACTAAATAGGATCTTATAGCGTTCCCCAGCATTTAAGGGTTTTTATTCTGTTTTTCACTGTTGTTAGATTTTCCACCATGAAATGAAAGCATAAGAAAAAGTAAGTATGAATTGTATGCACTTGTTCAATTTTAAAATAAAATAAATGTTTAATAAAATACAAAATTTTCTATATAAAATAAAAATATGTCTACTGAAACCCTCAAAGGCATTCACTTAAAAAGACTACATATTTCGACGTGTCTCTTAATTGTGTATAGTAAAGTGTTGTATTTTAATTGTTTGTTTCATTATACGAAAGAGTAATTAAAATCATACAAAAAGCGTTATAATAATATAAAATATTAAGGAAGGTTAATCTTTAAGTTACCAGTTTCTATCTCTTCAGACTTCATGTGAAATTGATTGCTAACCATTACATAATAACATAATGCCGCAGCAGTTATACAATTAACATGTGTATGCCACGTCTATAAACATTAAATAAATCATTTTTTCCACAGATAAAGTTATTGTTTATGCTAACAATGCTACGCAATTGGTTATCTGCACTGTTTTGAACCGTGTGGAATCAAACCCAGTATGTTAGCATTATAAGTCATCAGAGCTTATAGCTGAGCCACCGTGATGAAGATGTGACATGAACGACCTTATTCGTTTTTTCCAGGAAGAAGAAGCATGTTTTTATTGTTTGACCGTTTTGGTTTATCAAAAAATTGTTCTGGTGTAGTTTAAAGTGTTGCTCTTAATACAGCTATTGGAAAACATACCGTTAGCTTGACTAATAATATATGTTTATGTTTTATTATATTGTTTTATCGTTTTAATCACCATTTATAACGCTAAACTTTACTATTTTTTCAGCTTGTCTTTTGGCTGAAGAACAAGTATTATTTCATAAATCTTGTTGCACTACACGTATTGAACAAAGAAGTTGCAAACTTATTCAGCACAATATATCAATTAAGCAAAATATTGTGATGAAGAAATTGCCACCAAATAAAGGCTTGTTTTGGTCAACGTTGTATCTTATAGGTAATAACGTAAGATGTGATTTAAATGCCTTTCTGTTAGGTGGCCAAAGTACAAATACTGGATTTCTAAAAGGTGAAAACGTGTATATCACATGTAATTTTAAAAGAACTTATAGTACACGTTTTTCAAGACTGAAAATCAAACTCCATAGTAGACTCAAAAAAGCAGCTACCGAAAATAATGTTAGCTCAATATCTATGAATCAGATAATACGTTGAATAAAATGTCGTTCTAGCTAACTAATGAAATTACTAGGCCCAAGTAGTGAATTATATTTTACTTGATGTATTTTAATAACATTTAATGTCGCACTTTTTAATCAGGACTGAGAACACAAATTTTACTCACTTGTTGAAGAGAACTATATCTGGTTTCCATACTTTGTCCGGGGGCAATCTGAGTACACTTATTCCTCCATACTCGGCTTCATCCCATGTAAGCTGGTAGTCATTCCAGGCCTAAAAGATAAGAAATGGAACAAAAAATCTAAAATATTGAAACTAGAAGCTAAGAACTTTATTGTAGAAGCAAACTGGACAAGAAAATAAGAACTCTAGAGAACAAATAAAGTTGATAATAATTGCAATAATAATAAATAAGAATTTATAAATATAAAATATTTATAATATATTTATAAATATATGTAAAACATGGCGAAATATAAATGATAGAGCATGAAATTGAAAAGTGTAACTACCAAATGTAAAACAAAAGCAAATTAAATGGTACTACATGTTGAAAATGTAAAACAAGAAATAATATATAACAACATCCAATAGAGGGCATGAACTGTGCAGCGTACTCTCCATGTACGTTGGTACTCTTGAAAGTCTGAGTTACCCAAACCACATATCACTTGACTTTGTGTAAAGCTCGTCACCAATGGCATCATGATGACTGGTGGAAAGTTGCGTAAAGTGACGGCAAGCGT